AAAAAAAAAAGAGGGAAAAAAAGAGATTTGAATAAATCGGTGGCTGAAAAAACATTCAAAAAATCCGTGGCAGCGGGAGGGTGCAATTGCAGTCAGATGCATTCTGGAAAGTGGTAGTGTGAGTATGCCCTAAGGGCGTTGCTCCACTACTCTGCAAATGTGCAAAACGAGAGTGAATCTTCCATTAGAAGATGGAAAAAAACACAGCCATGATTTTTGTCGTTTCTGCATGTCGAGACTAGTGGAGGGATGCCCTAAATACGGTCGGTTCCACAAAGATACACTGTAAGTTTCTGGAGTTTGTGGCCACATTCAGAGGGTCTGGCTCGTTGCTTCTCAAAATCAAACCAGAAAAAGGAAAAACGAAGTTGACGTTTCCTCCCGCCTATCACGGCAGGAGGGCGCCTGACATCACTGAGAGGACGTTTTGTCCCGTCAGTCGCGGGCTTAGGGCACTACCCACACTCAGGGCATACCACAGATTTCTTACGTATTTTTGGACGGAATTGCAACCAGATACATCTAGGTATGGCCGTGAACGCTGTCAGATACATTTGAGATACTGCTAGTGTGAGTACGCCCTCAGATCCTTTTTTTTCTTTTCTTTTCGTCTTTTCTTTTGCCCCGACCTCGTTTTTTTTTTTCTGGTTTTTTATTTCCTCACAATCTTTTTCCACCTCCCAAGTGGCGGGCCTCAGAAGTTTCTCTTTTTCTTTTCTCTTTTTATTTCTTTTCTTTTTTAGTCCCTTTTTCGAAGCTTGGCACTTCGGCTTTCATTGTCTGCCGTGTTTGTTGTTTTCACATTTGGTGTCCGAAATGTTCTTAAAAAAAAAAAAAAAAAAAGGAAAAGAAGGTGTTGATGACTTGGGGTTGGAAGGGGAACTGTCATGATGCTCCGCATGATAGAAAAGGAGCTGGGGCTGTAAGGCCTTGATTTGGTGACAGGGGTGGGGGGGTAGCGGGGGGGGGAGTGGAAGAACAGTTTGCAATCTGAGTGCGGGGAACTGTTTGTTTGGAATCGGTTCTGCATGTGTGTCCAAATTCATGGCACGAGTGATGAATTGGATGGAAGTTCTGAGAGCGAATCTGGTTCTCGGTCTATCATTTGCGAGATTGATCACTCCCACATGACATGTGGTGCATTTTCTGTGAGCTTTCTTCTTGACTACCGATTCAGGGTGGTGCAACCCCATTAGCTTGTCCTATAGTGAATCAAGGATCGATCACTCCCACTCGCTCTTTGCGTGCAAAAGCGCAGAACGGTTCACGAAGCGAATAAGTCTGTGATGGGATGATGTTGAAGCGACATAAATTTTGTAGTGATCCAGATTTGAAAGGGAGGTGTGAAGCGAAGGCCAAGAGGAAGTCAGACGGAATAGAGAGAGGGAGAGGAGAGGTAAAGTGGAGAGAGAGAGAGAGAGAGAGAGAGAGAGNCCACACACACACACACACACACACACACACATGCACACACACAAAACAACAAAAAAAGAAAAAAAAAAATGGCGAAGACAGGAGGGGTGTCCTCGTCCGAAAGAAGGGCCCTCACCAAAAGTGGTGGCATACCCAGTGTTCCAAATGTATCCGACAGCAACTACAGTCACACGTGAGTGGATGAATCTGACTGCAGTCTCGTCCAGTGGACCAGTGCTGAGTAGAGAGAGGGGAGAGGCCAATTTTCAGCATGCCCTAAACCAGTGCTGAGTAGAGAAAGGCCAAGTGCGAGTATGTCGTCAGTCAGGGGGCGACCACTCGCCTTATGCAGAGACAAAAACTATAGCATCGCTTTCATTTTCCTTTGGCCGCACAGGTGTTTTCACTTGCACAGCTCCTGCCCACGAGTTGGATCTAGGCGCACGAGCTGGTTTTCCTTTTGGTGCCACAAGTGAAAACACCTGTGCGGCTGGCTTTTTCATACCGGCTCGTGCCTTAAGGTTGTGCCTGTTAACGAGCCACGGTTTTAGAAACTGTACGGGCTGCCACAGGAGCGCGCGCCTGAATTCATCGGACACCCGCCTTCCCCCGAACACAACGCACCCTTATTTTGGCTGTATCTGGTCGGAAATGTAGCGTGTATACATTCATTTTCAGGGTGCGTTATGTTTGGGGGAAGACGGTAGAGATGTTTCTGCTCTATTTTGTTTTCCGCGGCCCATAGCTGGGCCAAGTACTGATGTGGTTTAAACTTTAAACCCACAGTGCTGCTACAAAGACACGTTGTCGTGAAAATTGCAACCCTGCTAATAAGAGACGTGTTTGGCGGTGGAACAATCTACCTCGTCTACGTGGGAACAATCTACGTGGGAACAATCTACCACCTGTCTCTTATACACATCTAGATGTGTATAAGAGACAGCTCTCACACACACACACACACACACACACACACACACACACACACACACACACGCGCAGGTGATAGCATTCTAAAAAATGAATCTCTGCCAATCATGTCCCCACACAAGGTGACGGCTCTCACATGAGCATTTCGCTCATGGAAGGGAATCAAGGGATAGGATTCTATGTGGTGTTGCCTTCTCCAAATTGCAGAGGAGATTAGAGTACTCTCCAAATTCCCTTCTCCATAATCGATTCTCAAATGCAATCCAATGACAAATTTACCGTGAAACAGTGGCCACATGCCTCGTCCGTAGATTTACGGTATGTGTGTTCGGCGTGTCTGAATGAAGTGGGATGTGCAGGGCAGCACGACGGACAGCACGGAGACGCATGCAGAAAATAGTAAAATACACTCCACCTCTGATACGTTTCAGCACTTGATTAGTGTTCGAGGTAGTCACAAGGATCTACTTATGAGTCTTTATGTAGTCGCAAGGATCTCTGTTTACGCAGTTGTGAATCTCGCGAGGATCTATTTACTATTTACCAAGTATTGTTGTAGTCACAAGAATCTCTGTTTACGCAGTTGTGAATCTTGCGATGGAAACTTGTGCATCTTTCTGATGGTAGCCACGGAAGAGCGACTCCAAACGTAGGTGTAGCGATGAGCTTCGACTTTTTGTTGGTATTAGGGAAACGATGATCTGTCTTGATGTGATCTGTCTCCGCGCCACGGTAACTTTCTGTAAACGAGAGGGAACCGGTTCTTTTCTTTCTGTGGCCTGGTGACCAAACAATTAAGCCGCCAGTGCTTCCGAGGCACTTTCCCTCCGGGGATGGAAACGCCCTGGGCGCCAAAAGAGAACGGACTGGGACAGGTCTCTCTGTTTGGCTGGCGTCGGTCTTTTTTCTCCGGAGGCGGAGGCTGGAGAGTTGCGGCAGCATGAAAGCTGCTAGTTTGAAAACATGGCTGGGAGACGAACTGCTGGTTTAGTTAACTTGCTCTGCTGAAATGCCACATCATGTTTTAGTCATCCCATGTCGTATGGACATCCACCGGCCGGGCCAACCAGCCGAGTTGTCCCCCACGACCAATTTTTTTGTACGATTGCATTGATTCTTATTTCCATGATGTGAAATAACAAGAGGTCAGTGCGACATGGTGGAAGGGAACTCTTTTGACAAATGATATGATTGCCTTTGCGAAAGGGTGGCTGGTTAGGGAGGTGGATTTGCGGAGAGTCTTCCGCAGTGGTTGCCCATCTTGTGACATGTACTTCAGGTTACTCGCGTCTCCGCACAGTCGAGAGAGCCAATGAAAAGTAGGTAGGCATGTCATGGCAGGGCCCACGAATCGTGTGCAAGTAGATATGAGAAGGTACCCTCTCAGATTGCACAGTTCTTCTCCGAAGCAGCGTTTCCAGTTGTAGAAACCTGGGCATCTCCCTCAGCAGCGGGCACTAGTGCGGGGGGGGGGAGGGGGGCAGAGGAAATGACGGAATTGTGATGCTGCCCAGCTTCCTTCCCCTGGATTGACATCGCTTCAACGTGGGATCGTGGCTCCGCAAACCTGCGGCAACGAAAAAGACCAAACCATAAGAAGATGAAGAAGAAGAAGCAGAAGCAGCAGCAGCTGAAGAAGAAGAAGAAAAAGAAGGGTGGGAACCCAGCAGCAGGCACTACTGCAGTGGAAGCCACTTCGGGGGAGAAGACTCGAGGGAATTGTGACGCCCGCTTTCCCCTTTCTAGGCGATTGATTACAACGCATACTCAGATAAGCGACTGATCACATCATCGAGCAAAGAAGGAAAGTAAACTTCTGCGCCGTGAGGTTTAAGTAAGCTAGAACAATCAATGAATTCAATCCCACAGGGTCATCGTCAATTTCCAATTCCCATTAGCTATAAGGGTTCAGCAGCTTCAGGTTATTAGAGTCTGAACAAAGAAAGGAAAATCAGAATGCGTGAATTCGTTGTATTTGGCATTGTTATGTTTACTATCCAGTCACTAGGTTTTACCTGATCGGACGTCCGGGACCCCCCCCCTGACCGTTCGGGATTGTCCGGTCGGACAACCGGTCGGGCATACTCCCAGGGCAGCCGGGATGTCCCCCCGCCCCCCAGGAAAAAAAAAAAAAAAAAAAAAAAAAACTATGCTATGCAGAAAATGAATGTGAACATCTTCTGCTGTGGGATGACATTGAAATTCGTTATCGAATTTAAAATAAAAAGTAAAATT